CTGTTGCCCAGGTTGGAATTCAGTGGCATGATCTTCGCTCACTGCAACCTCCACTTCTTGGGTTCAAGCAATTCTGCCTCAGCCTCTTGGGTAGTTTGGACTATAGGCACGCACCAACACATGCAGCTAATTTTTGTAATTTCAGTAGAGATGGAGTTTCACTATGTTGCCCAGTCTGGTCTTGAACTCCTGATGTTAAGTGATCCTCCCACCTCAGCCTCCCAAGTGCTGGCATTATAGGTGTGAACCACCATGCCCAGGCTGTTTTTTAAACTTTTATTTTTGAAATGATTATATTCTCACAGGAAGCTGAGAAAGTGGTGCACAGGGTCCCCCACATCTTTCACTCAGATTTCCCCAGTGGCGACACCTCATATAATTGTAGTCCAACATCAACACCAGGGAAACTGACATTGGTGCAATACTGTTAATAAGACTATAGACATTACTCAGTTTTCACCAGTTTTACATGTACTTGTGCGTGTTGTGTGTAATTCTACACATTGGATTGCATGTATATATTTGTGTCATCATCACCAGGCTACAAAACTGTTCCATCATGAGAGAGCAGCTCTTTTTCACCACCTGTTTACAGTTGCACTGCCTCCCTAACACTGTGCCTGTCCTCTGGCAACCACTCAATTGTTTTGCATTTCTACACTTTTGTCATTTTGAGGATGTTATATAAATGGAATCGGGTGGTACAAAACTTTGAGACTGGCTGTTTTCACTATGTGAACCCAACCAAGTCATTGCATGTATGAAAACGATTTGTTCCTCTTCTATTGACAGTAATATTACTTGGTATGGATGTACCACAATGTTTAATCATTTACCTGTTGAGGGGCATTTAGGTTGTTTCCAGTTTTAAATATTACAAATAAGGCTGCTAAGAACATTTGTATACAGGTTTTTATGTGAATATAAGTCTTCACTGCTCTGGAATAAATACCCAAGAGGGCAATTTCTGGGTGTATGGTAAATTCATGTCTAGCTTTATAAGAAACTGTCAAAGTATTTTCCGGAATGACTATGCCATTTTACATTATCAACAGAAATGATGTATGATACAGTTTCTATACATCCTTGCCAGCAATTGGTGTCATCACTACTTTTTATTTCAGCTGTTCTAATCACGTGTGGTTTTAATCTGCATTTTCCTAATGGCTAATGTTGCTGAGCATCTTTTCATGTGCTCCTCTGCCATCTGTATGTATATCCTCTTCAGGGATATGTCTGTTTATGCCTTTGCCCATTTTCTGATCAACTGTCTAGACTTTTTACTGTTGACTTTTCAGTTCTTTATATATTCTACATATGTCTTTAGTCAAATATGTGGTTTACGAGTATTTCCTTCCAGTGTGTAGCTTGTCCTTTCATCCTTTTAACCGGGTCTTTTGCAGAATGAATATTTTTAATGAAGACCAACTTGCTCTAGGTCCCAAATATTTTCTCCTACATTTTACATTTAAGTTGTGATTTATTTTTAATTAATACAAGATATGTGATTTAGGTTGATTTTTTTCAGCTTATGGAAGTTCAATTGGTCTAGTACCATTTGTTAAAGAAAAAAGTCTCTTCTTCTGTCATTTAATTTGTTTGTGTTTTTAACATCAAATCCACTAATATCTGTCTTCAGTTCTGGGAAATTCTCTGGCATTATCTCTTCAAATATTGCTTCGCTGCTATTCCCTTCCTTCTCCACTTCACATGTGGGAGCCTGTGAATCTTTCCACCATGTCTCTTATCTATCATTCTTTGCACCTCTTTGTACCAGATCCTAGGTTGAATTCCTCAGTATCAACTGTCTTTCAACTCATTCTCTCTTGAACTATGTCCAGTTTAGAGTTTATCCCAAAGTACTTTGTACCTTAATAATCGTATTTTATATTTCCAGTACTGTTTTTTAATTGGTTCTTTCATAAATTCAAATGTGCCTCCTTTTGTTTCATAATTTCCTAGAAGTTAACCAGGAATGTTGCTCCTTCTGTCATCTCTTTGATGATCTTAAACATATTTGAAATTAATTTTCAGATTGCTTTACTATATTTTGTTTCCAAATTCATCTCCTTATTGTCTGTGTTTATTGGTACTGGCTATCCTTGTAGGCTTTAGAATTTTAATTTGCTAAACTCCTCTCGAATGAGAACCCTTGCTTGCTCTCTCTCTCCACTCACTGTCAGTGCTTTTACAGATATTGCCGCCACCTTCCACCCTCATCCAAACAGAAGACCAGAACCAGGTCTTACACTGACAGCTCAGGGTTCCTGTACTTTGGTAATGGCAATTACCAAATAAATCCAATAAATCCAGTTACCAATAAATCCAATTACCAATAAATCCAGTCATGCCACAGTCGGGTCCTGGTTGAACTGCTCTTTCTATTCTCTCGCACCCCAGACACACAACTTTAAATAAGCCACAGACCCAAGCAGCCTTGTTCAGCTTCTTTTCATGGTATGACAGTCTCACCCCAGCTTCTAGTTTCTAAAACTGTCATTTCCTCTGGTCCCTGTCCAGGCATGCAGTTCCTTTGGTCCCATACCCTCATGCAGTATTTCCCATTCTTTTTGACACCATGACATATGGAGAAAATAACAATATTTGCATAGTACACAGGCAGATGGATGAGACCGTTCCCTCACCCAGGAATGATTGGCTGAGGGCTCTGATCATCACCCATTCCCTGACTAGCTGCCCTGAAGCCTGAGAAAAATCAGCATTTCATACACTGGTAAATTCATTCCCAGCATTCTCTAAACACACTAATACCCTAAAATAATGGACTCCTGGCACACTCTGCCTGTTTCTGTAGTTGGTTCTATTTCTAGTCCACGAGGATGTTTATCTTGTTATTAAAGTACAAATACGTTAATGGCATTTCATTTACTATGTATTTGGAACAGAATATAGAATTTAAAGCATGAACTTAAAGGTCCATCACAATCATGCTTTTCTCTCTGTTAGAACACCCTCCTCTCAACCTCTCTGCACGACTTTTTCCTACTACTCCCTCAGGTTTCAGTTTAGATGTTATTTAATCAAGGGAGATTTTCATGACTGCATTTTCACCCCCAAATGTGGGGTTAATCTCCTTGTTAGCATCTGATTTTACATGTAATTGTACTGTATTGTTATTACCTATTACCTTAAACAGAAAGGTCCCTGATGGCAGGAACTGCCTATTTCACTTCTGTATTTCCAGATCTAGCACAGTGCCTGCAATAAGTACAAACTCAATAAATATTTTCATTTCACCTATAACAGAGTTCCATGGTGGAGAGGATAATGTAATAGTGAAGAGATGGAGCTCTGGAGTCAGAAATTGTTGGGTTTAAATCCTAATTCTACCACTTACTGTGTGACTTAAGAAAGCTACTTAGCTTCTCTAAGTTTAGTTTCCTCATCTATAAAATGTATGTTCAAATCCTATCTCTGTTACTTACTAGCTGTGTAATCCTGGCCAAGTTCCTCTCTTGATTTTAGTGCCAGACCTAAGTGATGTTTTAAGAATTAAGTCAGACAACATCTATAAAGTCACTGGTTCTGTGACTCCTTCTCCTGTTTCCTTGTTCCCACTTCATGGGGAAAAGGGAGGACATCACAGCTCACCCCTCAGAAGTGGCGCTGGCTGAACCATTTTTTAAGCCTAGGTGGCATCTTGGTGAAAGGCTTTCTACTGCCACCAGAGCTTTGTGTCTACAACGTATTCAGGCAAAGTGGAGGGGAAATGTCAATAAGAATTTGAAAAAATGGTTTTATGTGCCGTATTTAATTTACCTAAAGAAATTTAATATACCTAAAGAAAAATAAAAACAAAGAAGTGATGACTGGATCATGTTAACTCTGAAAATGTGAGATGGGAAGAGGACATCTCCATGAAAATCTTTTTTTTTGAAACAGAGTCTCGCTCTGTCGACCCGGCTAGAGTGCAGTGGCACCATCTTGGCTCACTGCAACCTCTGCCTCCTGGTTCAAGTGATTCTCCTGCCTCAGCCTCCCAAGTAGCTGGGATTACAGATTACTGCCACCATGCCTGGCTAATTTTTCTATTTTTAGTAGACAAAGGGTTTCACCATGTTGGCCAGGCTGGTCTCGAACTCCTGACCTCAAGTGATCTGCCCACCTCGGTCTTCCAAAGTGCTGTGATTACAGATGTGAGCCCCCACCCAGCTGAGAGTCATTTTTAAAATGAAGGCATCTACTACATTTTGCTGTGTTCTAAACTCTACTGCTAGAAAGAGCATGTAAAACTAGAAGAGGATGTCTGTCAGATAAAAAACGCAAGTAAGGGAAAGGGAATTCAGCAAAGCACCTTAAAGTTCAAATTATAATGTAGAGGCATAGAGAAGCTACTTTCAAGCACATTTTAAATAAAAGTATTTAATGAAGAACAGAGCCTAGTAAACTGAGCCATTAACTGATAAAGAAAACTAAAATTCAGACCAAAGGTTTTATAGGAGGCAGAAGGAAATAATGCAAAAACCTTGGCATCAAAAAGACCTGGAATCAAATCCTGACTCTGCTGTCTCTCACTGTGTAACCTTCAGCCAGTAACAACTCTGAACCTGAGCTTCCACCTCTGCAGAATGAGGATCATTACCCTCGCCTCCCAGGATGCTGGGAGGATCAAACAAGATTCCAGACACCGGCTAGGAAGTGCCCAGCCCAGTGGCCCAATGCACGCATGGTTGGTGTTCAACAAACATCAATCCCCGCCCTTTCCCTTCCCGGGTGCTTTTATTAGCAGGGATCATAAAAGGGTCTGGAAATTGCTAAAAATCCATGTTGTCACGCCTGGAATTCACAAACTTCTAAGTCTATTTTGCAAGCTGATTCTCTGAGATGCACAGTCCTGAGACCTGGTGAGCACCCAGAGCTGCATCAGTGCAGAGGTGTGGTTCCAGGCCAATGCCTAGAAAGACTGACCAGCCTAGAAGACACCTTGGGTGGCCAAGAGACCGCCAGAAACTAGAGCAGCCAAAAAGAGAAAGGATTACTTGAGCTTCGGCTCCCGTCCTTCGCTTGTATACTGCCAGCAGATGAGCCCGATCAGGTCCTGTACCCTGGCGCTGGCCATTGTCACCACGGTCATTGGCAGCAGTCTGTCCTGGCTCGAGTGCAGAGGGAGGTAGACATCGATCTTCTTGGTTGCCGTTGTACCTACATGACCCTGTGGACAGAGCACATGCATAAGAGCAAAGCACACTGCCACAGTTATACAGACCCGACTGCTCTCCAGACCTGTGGACAGCACAGCCATTTGCATCCTTTCTGTACAGACCTGCTGTGAGCCTGGAATGATCCCAAAGTGGAAATGCTGTCTAGTTTCAAGGATTATTTTTCCTTAAATTTTCATTTTCTAACAAACCAATGATCAGGATCTGCCAGCAAGAAGTTAAATGAGCACTACAACTAAGAAGAACAAGTAAGAGTGGTGAGCAGAGTTAAGTTTGGTGTTAGAAGGCTGGCTTTGCTACTAATTCACTGTGTCCATAGACCATAGCACTAGGTGCCCTCACTGGAAACTGTTATGTCCCTCCTTGAGACAGTGAGGTGAGCTGCCTGGGAAGCTGCCATATTCTCCCAGGAAGGATTTAGGCCAGCGGCACTGAAACAAGTGCTTGCCTTCTCAGAGACTATGTGGGCTAGTTCCACTGCGTAGTACATCTGTTTACTTCAATACCGCTCAGGTTCAAGGGCCCTTTGGTCCTCCATGATAGCCCTAACCACCATCCCCACACTGCTGGATATAGTCCCAATCCCTCCCAAGTCTTCCACTCTGCCCTCAAGAGCTCCTTGACTCATCAGCCAACACCCATAAATCCTCAGTTGCTTTTTAAAACCATTTCCTAATCAGGCTAGGCACGGTGGCTTACTCCTGAAATCCCAGCACTTTGGGAGGCCAAGGCAGGCGGATCACGAGTTCAGGAGATCAAGACCATCCTGGCTAATGTGGGGAAACCCCGTCTCTCCTAAAAATACAAAAAATTAGCCGGGCATGGTAGCACACGCCGTAGTCCTAGATACTCAGGAGGCTAAGGCAGGAGAATCACTTGAACCCAGAAGGTGGAGGTTGCAGTGAGCTGACATCACACCACTGCACTATAGCCTGGGTAACAAAAGCAAGACTCCATCTCAAAAAGAAAACTAAAACCATTTCCTCTACAGCTTGGACTTTACGGAACTTACTGTTGAGGATACTGTCTCCTCTGCTGTCCTGTTAAAAGAGGACTGCTTTGATTCTTTTTTTATAACCCCCACATCGTCAAGGCATGCAAGAGTAGGCATCCTTGTCCCCACTAACACTTCCAAACTAGTACTTCCTCTTTCATGAAAAACTCCTTGTTCTTTTGAGGCCCAGGCCTTCTAACGACACCATTCTCTTCCACTCCTTTTTTGTTTCTGTTATCCGCCAACCTTCTGGCCATTCCCCTCCCTCACAGAAGGCTTGCACGCTGGCTCAGTCTTCTTTCCCACCCACACAATATGTTCACTGTACAGAGTATACAGAAAAGTGTCACAGAAAACGAGTTCAAATCAGAACACTTAATTGTCCCTCACTGCCTCCTGCTCCAAGTCAAAACGACAGCCCCCGCTTATTTTAGTAATACGTGCTGCCATCACTAAGCCAGCTGTTCATCTCAACAGTATGATGCTTCTTCTTCCCTCATACTGCTATACTCTATTAGGAAGTTCTAATGTCTCTACTGCAAAAATACATTTCAATGGGTAAAGTATAGTCTTTTCAACAATTGATGTTGAGACAAATCAATAGCCATATGCAAAAGAATGAATTTGGACTCCTGCCTCATACCATATACAAATATTAATTCAAAACATATCAAAGATCTAGATGTAAGAGGCAAAACTATAACATTCATAAAAAGGAAACAGGTGTAAATCTTCACAACTTTGGATTAGGCAATAATTTCTTTAATACGATACCAAAAGCATAAACAGCAAAAGAAGTAAATTGAACTTCATTAAAATTAAAAATCTTTGTGCCTAGGCCGGGTGTGGTGGCTCATCTCTGTAATCCTAGCACTTTGGGAAGCCAAGGCAGGCAGATCACTTGAGGTCAGGAGGTCGAGACCAACCTGGCCAACATGGTGAAACTCCATCTCTACTAAAAATACAAAAATTAGCTGGGTGTGGTGGTGAGCACCTGTAACACCAGCTACTGGGGAGGCCAAGACAGAAGAATGGCTTGAACCTAGGAAGCAGAGGTTGCTGTGAGCTGACATCATACCACTGCACTCCAGCCTGGGTAACTGAGTGAGACTCTGTCTCAAACAAAAAAACAAAAAACAAACAAAAAAACACTTTTGTGCCTAAAGGATACTATCAAGATAGTAAAAAGATAATCAAAAGAATGGGAGAAAATATTCACAAATCATGTATCTGGTGGCAAGGGTCTACTATCCAGAATATGTTAAGAAGTCTTACAACTCAACAACAAGATGACAAAAAAAATTTTTTAATGGGCAAAGATTTAAACAGAAATTTCTCCAAAGAAGATATACAAATGACCAATAAAAACATGAAACTGTTCCATATCATTAACCATAAGGCAAATTTCTTCTTACCCACTACAGTGGCTATAATTTTAAAAAAGCAAAAACATGAAACAATAACAACCCAAAGAACCCTGAAAATAGCAAGCGTTTCTGAGGATATGGAGGAACTAGAATCCTCATACACTGCCAGTGGGAATGTAAATGATGCAGTCCTTGTGAAAATGTTTGGCAGTTTCTCAAAAATGAAACATAGAGTTACCATATGATCAAGCAATTCCATTCCTAAGTATATACTCCTGAGAACTAAAACTATATGTTCACATTAAAACTTGGACATATGTTCATAGCAGCATTATTTCTAACAGCCAAAGAATAAAAACCACCCAAATGTCCATTAACTAATGAATGGATAAACAAAATCCTTACAATAGAATATTATTCAGCCATGAGAAAGAATGAAATACTGATCACACAACATGGATGTACTATGAAAACACTATGTTAAGAGAAAGAAACCAGACATGAAAGGCCACTGTTGTATGAACCCATTTATATGAAATGTTCAGAACAGGTAAATCCATAGAGGCACAAAGTAGATTAAGAGATTGGCAGAAGATGGCAGGGGTGGGAAACTGGGAGATATGAGGTTTCTTTTGGGGGTGATGGAAATGTTCTGAAATTGGTAACAACAGTTCATAACGTTAATATGTTAAATACCACAGAACTATACACTTTAAAATGGATAAAATGACAAACTTTATGCGTTTTATCTTAAGAAAAAAAGTGAAAAATACATATTTCAAAACTATCTCACTTCTTTCCCTCTCCATTGCCATCAAAATCACCATCAGGTCTCACATGAACTATTGTAACAGGTTCCAAATTGTCCTACAGGACTCTTGTTTTATCCAATTTGTTCTCCACATGAGTTAGATCTGTTTTTTAAACTCAGATTTGATCATACTACATCCTGTTTAAATTCCTTCAATGAGTGGCTCCCAAACACTGAACAAAATCCAAACTCCTTGCAACATCCAACAAAGCACTGCGTGATCTGGCCCTGTCTACCTCTTTAAAATCATCCACTGCACTCCCCCACCTGCGCATCAGACTTCAGCTACGCCAGCCGTCTGGAAGAGCCCTCAAGACACCTTCACGTGTGCCTGTGTGCACCCTGCTTGCATCTCCCACTTCCTAGAGTTTGGCAGGTGCTGTTCACAGTATCTCGAGAGACTGTTCATGGGCTTTGCATGTGTGACTCCTCATCCTCAAATGTGTGCCCTGGGCAGGTTACTTAACCTCTGTGCTTCTGTTTCCTCAGACATAAAATGAGGACAATGGTAGGACCTACGCATCATAAGACCCTTGTGAGAATCCTCCTCAAAGAAACCTTGACTGTTGACACTCCTTTCAGTTATTCTATCACACATGTCCTGTTCGTTTCCTTCAGAGTGTTTAACAATTGAGATTATTTATTTAGGTACATCTTCAGTGTATGCTTTCGCTGTGAAGTTTCCTCTGAACTTCCACGAGAGCAATGTTAACGGCTGCTTTATTTGCTGTTCCATACACAATGCCTGGCCCTGTGCTTGGCACACAGAAAATCCTGGGGAAAAAATCTGTTGAACTACAGAATGAATGTATGAATGACTCAAGTGCCTGCCAGGACACATGATAGGAACTGAGTAAATGTTAGTCTTCTCCATCCCTCTTGCCCTTCCTCTATGGGTCGGTTTCCTGGTCATAGATGAAAGTGGAGGGTCTTGAGCAATCATGTGGTTCCATCTTTAACTCTCTATAATTCTATCATTTTGAGGTGAAAAAGAAGGTCAGTACAAGGTAAGGAAATATATAAAGTCAGTTTAAAAAACATTTTTTAGAGTAATTCCATTTTGCATATAACCTAGCATCCATCATTAGACTCCCTGATTTTCCCCCGAGCCTCTCTGTATGTTATAAAGCAACTAGTAAAAAAAGTAATTCTACATAATGCACGCACCCACACTCGCTCACTCTCTTGCACCCTCTCTCTCTCATATGCAAACACATGTGGGCATGCACACAAACCCTTGCATGGTTTTCAGCTCTGAAATAATAATTTCAATGTCTAAAAGACTTCACTAAACAAGTGTTTTGCCTTGTTGGGCAGGCAAAGGGTTACAATAACAGTGGCAACCTTTCGGGAGCGGATTGATAGCCCTCATATTACCATCCTTTTCAGACCCAGATCAGTTGCTTGTCATTGCTCTTTCTTTTTACTTCTGTTTATTTCCCTTCCTCCTGAAGCACTAGAATTAAGGAGCTACAGTGATCGCAATATCTCAAGACACGAAGACTGAACGAGATGACAAATGTGAATGTGTTTCATAAACTGTAAAGTGCTTTAGAAATGTAGAGCAGTATGCCACAAAGGGCCTCTGTGTTGAAATTAGACCCATTTCTATTACTCAAGCCTATTACAAGGTCACGTGAGGCCAAAAATGGATACTGCAGGAGCCCTAGTAATAACACTGATTATTGTAACAAGAGGTAGCATTTAGGCCAGGTGCTGTGGCTCACACCTGTAATCCCAGCACTTTGAAAGGCCTAGGTAGGAGGATCACCTGAGGTCAGGAGTTCAAGACCAGCCTGGCCAACATGGCAAAACCTCGTC